TATAAGATTCTTAAGGGTCTTGACAGGGTAGATACCGTGAGACTGTTTCCCCTGGTTGGAGAATCTAAAACTGGGTGTCATAGTCTCAGGATTAAGGGTCAGCCTTTTAGAACTGAGTTGAGAAAACATTTCTTCACTCAGAGGGTAGTGAATTTATGGAATTCTCTACCCCAGAAGGCTGTGGATGCTCAGTCATGAAAAACATATTTGAGACTGAGATCGATAGATTTTTTAAAACCTAAAGGAATTAAGGCTTATTAGGGATAGGGCGGGTAAATGGAATTAGGTTAGAAGATCAGTCATGATCTTATTAAATGGCGGGGCAGGCTCGAGGGGCTGAATGGCCTACTCCTGCTCCTATTATGTTCTTATGATTCCCACCAGGGCAAAATGTTGGGCAAATTTCCTTACTCCACATGCCTGAATTACCTAGCAATAAGTAGAAACCCGGTTGTTAGTCTATCGGTGGATCACTTTTCCGGTGGTAATAATTCGTTCAAAACAGTTGGTCACTTCAATCCACGACTGTTTGTGGGACACTGCTGTGTGCAATTGGCTGCCGTGCTTCCCCCACAAAATATAGTCAATTCAGTATATTTTATGAAGTGCTTTGAAACGTCTCAAAAATGTGATAAAGCGCTAGATTAAATGCAACGATTATTATTATTATTATTATTATTATAATATTCCATTCCATATATTTACTGCTCTCTGTGTAAGGTAACTAAATCTGAGTTGCCTGTTCACTTTAATTCTTCTGATCTTGATGTCTGTATTTAACAAGCTTAAGACCTTGGTTTAACATCTCATCCTATTATATTACTGAGCCACCTCCCTCTGTGCTGTCGCACCAATATCCTATTCAATTCTCCATAATATGTTGTTTCAGATCTCATTGTTTTTTACATCTCATTAAATTATATAAAGCAACATTTCCAACCTGACTCTTACTCTTGTAACCTCGAGTGCCGTTTCAACCTCCAGTTCCCTGTTATCTTCCCTCCAAAACAAGGGCCAACAATGCATTTTAGGACCATAGAAATTTACAGTGCAGAAGGCCATTCAGCTCACTGGGTCTGCGCTGGAAGCAGAGTAGTACAAAAACTGAAAATAATACATGCAAAAAAAAGGGATGTTGTTTTATTTATCAACATAAGAATAGCTTTGATGTGAAACAAGCGCTTTGAGACGTCCTCCCACTGTACAAAGCACTATATAAGTATAAATTGTGTTGTATTTTATTAGGGCTGTAGTTGCAAGAACAGGTGCAAAATCTGTACCAGTAACAAAGTTAATTTAAATATGTTTAGCATGTATTATAACTGGATTCAGGTAACTGTCATAATTAAGTAATTTCACTTAGTCATTGGTATCTGATCCATTGAGTGAAATTACAGGTGTCAGCCTGGCTCAGTTGGTAACATTCTCACCTTTGAGTCAGACGTTTTGTGGGTTTAAGCCCCACATCAGGACTGACTCATAGTCTGGGGTGGGGGTGCACTGCAATGTTGGAGGTGCTGTTCTTCGGATGAGACATTAAACAGAGGCCCTGCTTATCTGTTCACATGGATGTTTCAAATCCATGGCACTATTTAGAAAGAGGAGTTTCTCTCGGTGTCCTGCTGGGCAATTCCACAAATAAAATTGGTCATTCACGTCATGACTGTTAGTCCCACAAAATGAAGTGTACATCCTGTTATTGTCTTTGAAGTTCAATTTCCTCCATAAATTTCAAATCATCGCTCCAAAAGCAGTATGATCGAATGAAGCTTGTCAGGCATATCGTGTAGAAATCAAACATCATCTTGACTAGATGTGCATCACAACATTCTACATCAATTATTTAAAAATTTTACACGTGTAACACCTTCTTCAAACTAAACTTTGACCGGGATGGGATGCAATTCAACAATGGCATTATTGAAGGCTTCACTGCAGCTCTCCCTGCAAGCTGCCTGTGGAAACAAAGATAAAAACTCTCACTTCTCAGCAAACAATGTCCTTCCCTGCTTGTTGGAAGGTATTACAATGCCTGCTGTGCAATAAATCTGTCCCTTTGGTGATAATTTGGTGCAGAATTAATATAAAGGATGTTGACATGCTCATCTACCTGCAGTGAATGATATTGTTTTGCTGCAAAGTCGAGAAGGCTTAACGTGTCAAAATTCTTACATTCAGTTGCTCATCAAAATGATGTTTATACTCATGCTAGCAGTAAATTATTTGACCGCTTAACCTAGTAGATTGTTCCCAGCTCAGGAGTGAAGGTTACTTTAGTCAGTCTCATTGCCAATTCTGATTAATATTAAAAATATTAAATTGAACCAATAGAAAGTCATAGGAATGGCTTACAGCTACAGTACAATAAATAGATTGATTTTAATTCAGTTCGCTAACTTCTATACAACCAAACTCAGACAAATAATATTTAATGCTTGAAACATTACAGCAATGTTCTGAGTAATGCTTAAGAGTAGGGAAAGTGACAATATACATGTTCCTGAATACATTGGGATTGGAAGTCTTGGTAGGAAAACTTGTCCATCCATGCTTGCTATGAGGAAGTAATGGTGGGCTTTTGCTTTAAACTACCGCTGTCCTTCTTTGATGATTCCAGGAGGATGACACAGCGATGCTGAAGTAATGATCTTGGAGGGCAAAGTTGTTCCCATGGTACCGCTGTTCCTATTTTGCAGCTGGCATTCTGTTTTCTGACTTATTGGATCTTTTCTCACCGAGAAACAAAATCTTAGCTGTGATTGCAAACCAGAAGTTGCAATGATGGCTGGCATTTTGCTTTTGTGCCATTTCTCAGCTGAGAACATACAAGAACAACAAAATTACATTTATAGAGCGCCTTTCACATTGGGAGGACGTCCCAAAGCGCTGAACAGTCAGATGTCAGGGCCCGAGCATGGGGGAGGGGTGGTGTAGGGGTGAAGGAAGGCAGAGAGGTGGGAGGGAGACAAAAGGCACGGTCGAAGAGAAGGGTCTTGCGACCGGCTTTGAAGGAGGCAAGGGAGGAAGCGAGACGAAGGAACTGTGGGATTCAGTTCCAGAGTGTGGGGGCAGAGAGGCTGAAAGCCCGGCCACCGATGGTAGGGCGGGTCGGGCGGGAGACATGGAGCAGGTCGGTGCCTGATGAACGGAGGGAGGGGGCAGGTTTGTAGGGAGTCAGCAGGTCAGAGAGATAGGAGGGGGCAAGGCCATGGATGGCCTTAAAGGTGAGGACGAGGATCTTGAACTCGATCCTCTGGGGGATGGGGAGCCAGTGGAGTCGGGCGAGGGTGGGAGTGATGGGGTTGCGGAGTCTGGTGCGTGAGAGTACACGAGTTGCAGAGTTTTGGATGATCTGCAGCTTGTGAAGGGAAGAGTTGGGAAGGCCGATGAGGAGGGAGTTCCCGTAGTCGAGCCTTGATGTGATGAATGCGTGGGTGAGGGTTTTGGCCGCCTGAGGGGTGAGGCAGTGGCAGAGTCTGGCGATGTTGCGGAGGTGGTGGTGGCAGTAACGGTCATGGAGCAAATGTGGGGGAGAAAGGACAGTTCAGGGTCAAACAAGACACCCAGGTTCCTGACTGGCTTAGTGAGGTTAATGCTGTCAGTGCCTGAGGTGTAGAGGCGCTGGCGCGAGCCAACCAGGAGGGCCTCGGTCTTGCTGACGTTGAGTTGGAGAAAGTTCTGCCTCGTCCAGGACTTGATGTCGGACAGGCAGGTGGTCAGGACCTCAGTAGTCCTGGAGTTGAGGGTGGAGGCAGAGAGGTAGAGTTGGGTGTCATCCGCATACATGTGGAAATTTACCCCATGTCTGTGGGTGACATCACCAAGAGGGAGCATGTAGAGGGTGAAGAGGAGGGGACCGAGGACAGAGCCCTGAGGAACACTGCATGAGACAGTGCGGGGGCCGGAGGAATAACCGTTTACCGCGACAAAGTGGAGACGGTGTGAAAGGTGGAAACCTGAACCAGTCAAGGACAGAGCCTTTCAGAAAAGAACTGAAAAGTCCAAGAAAAGGTTTGGGAAGCCAAATGAACTTTGCTGGCCTTTGGAATAACAATTTGTTTTAAAGCAGATTTTGTAAAAAAAATCATGCAATTTGAGTCACAAACAGCAAATTGGTATGATTCTCAGTGACGTGCAGTTTCCAAATACATTTTTATTCCCTACCATTGTTAACCCTTCATAGAAAGATATACAGGGGTATTCCAAAATAATGTTTTTGATTAAAATTTAGACTTTTATGGATAAAACCTTAAGAATATACAAATTCCAGATCTTTTATAAAAACAAACACAAGCTAATCTCAAACTATAAGTCAGTTAACTTGTTGACTTTATTCATGTAATTGCTGGACTTCCATAATCACTGGAAATATATTTAATTTTCCCAGGTTTTACTGTGCAACTTGAAAAGAAATCTCTTATGGCAGATGCCCTCATCCACCACGTTGGGAAAGCATAAACAGATCCTTTATATTTTTTGCCGACAAAATATACAGTCGATCCACTTTATAATATATTCTTTGAAGTGCTTTGAGACATCTCAATGAGATGATACGGTGCGATATCAATTTCAAGGAATATTATCAGAACCCTCCAAATGTTCTTAATTGAGCAGCAAACTGTATTAGCTGAGAGAAATAATTTAAGTGCTGCATAGCTTTCTTAAAGCTAACTACACTCTGGAATTAAATGACTGAACACACTTTGAAAGTGTTTTTTGGCACCTTGATAGTTGTTCACATCCTGCATCTCAGCACATTGTGGGTCTGTCTCACTGATTTACAGATTCCTTATCTGTTTCAATGCCATTTAAGGAGTGTTCCCATTTTTTGTTAAATGTAATAGGGCAGTAAATAACCTTGTTTATGGTTCATCCCAAACTAAATTTAGTAAAACTAAGCGCAAATTTCATAGACCTTTATATGAAATATTCTCCTTCAACCAACATCTTCCCCCTCATGATGACAGATAATTAAGCGAAAAAATGCACAGGTGCACATATTTCAACTTAAAGGATATTTTAATGGACAAATTCAGTTTTCTGTTGCAGGTGAAAAACATTAATTTTTTTTCCACAAAATGCACTCTTTTATACAAATTTGCTTTATAAAAATGTGAACAAATCAAGCCTTTAAGGCCATTCTGGCAGAATCCATTATTAAAAGTTTATGATGCCAGGAAAACACATTTTAAAAAAAGATTTACAAGTGAATTATTGTAACAAAATATTCAGTTTAATAATTTTGTTGTAGAAAGTCTGATATTCAAAACCAATTTTTTTCCCTAAACATCAACAATATTCCCTCTTAATATTTGTACACATATTAACTATGTTTTTTTAATTCTTAAACATCTGTAAGTTACTTAGAATTCACTTCTATGGGAAATTATTTATTTTTAATCATTTCATGCATGATTATAACCACAAATGGAAGCGGACATAAGTTAAAGCAAACGTACCCTGCAAGACCAGAAACAAAACTATAGGTTACAATGCAGTGGTTACATCACCAAATTGTTGAAAATCTATATATATATCTAGATATATAAATGTTTTTATTTTGCTGCTTCCAAAAGGACAAGTTTACTTGCACCTACAAATATATCTCATTCGTTCCTGGCCTTGCATAAGATAAGCTAGTAAATAACACTTGTGATAAATAATAACTCGAGATGCAAATTTCAGAACTGTAATCTACAGCAATGTCCTACTTGCAACAGACACTTAACTCACTGAAAAAAACGGCAAGATTTACAAATGGCAACACTGACCATTCATAGAACTATACATATATCATCATTTTATATAGCTTTACCAAGAATTAAGACTGACAAAGTACACAAGTAAATCAGTGGTATAAACATATTTATACAAAAAAGGAATGAGCATTGAAACAAAGCTTTCAATTGGGATATTTCATCAAATCAGCGCCGATCTTATCTCCAAGAGAAGATCCATCAAGGTGAAAAGCAAACACACTGTGAACGTACAATTTATTAAAAACAAGGGAAGAACAAACAAAAACACTTACGTATACACACAAAAAAGTGAAGAAAAGCTGAACAAAACAAATCCTCTATTCTCACTGGTTTGTGGATAGATTATTTTGAACAAATCGACAAGCCTGTCTAAAACATCGACCTACGTTTGGATGAAAAATAATTCGAGACATTTAAGTACAAGAATTTTGCACCATGTTCATTTTAAAAAAAATCTTTTGTGAACTTGCTTGACTTCTCAAAAGTTTTCAAAACAAATAATCTCATCTACGAAGAAATAGATGAGGCTTTCTGAACACACCCTGCAATACAAACGTTCCCTCTGCGTTGTTATCTAAATGATCCAAGAAAGACGCTTGAATAATTAAACTGAAGCAGGGAACAAAAGCTCATCGTGAGTAAATGTTAAAGAAACATATTCCACATCTGCATAGAACATGGAATAAAACTATGCTCTTTGCACAGAAGCTGAATCAAAACAGAACACATTTGAGTTTTTTCGCAGTATTGCTGCCATGTATCTGAAACCAGTTCTCTTTGTTTAGATTGCAATTCTTTTCTAAATTTTTAAGTCTTATTGAAAAGGATACGATTCAGGCGATTATAATTCTCCGAAAGATTGATTGTCATCCAGTGGGGGTGGAAAGGTGTTGAAGGAGTTGAGAAACAGATTATTGGAGCCCCTTAGAACAGTGCACAACGTTTCTACAAAAATCACACAAGCTCTACCCAAGGTTGTGGCAGAAAGCAAGTTACTGGGATCCATTCACAAAAACGCTATTTAAAAAAAACTAAAGATATCCTCATAATTAATATATTCTTGTTAATTAAGAGTGCAATAAAACAAAATTCCTTAAAATAAAAAAATTGGATTGACAGTCTTGAGTATTGTCAAAAGAAGCAATGCGTTTAGAACCATTTTTTTTCCTATCAATTACCCTTCAAGTAAACAGTGGTAAATCACTGCAAATCATTTAATGTACAATCATTTACTCAGCAAAGTGATGATCGTTAACAGAGTTTAAAAACTGAACAGCTACCTTGTAGAATGCCGTTTTGTCCAGTTAAATGCTTAGGAATCCAAGCTTCCCAATGGATTTATCAAATGGATTCTTGGAAATGATTTTTTTTAACTCTCTCCTAAATTTTTCAACAACATCTTTTCTATTTCTTTGAAGAGATACAAATCAGTAAGTGCTGATGCTGGACCACTTCACATGTTTAAAACCCTCAGTACTCATCAATGGTGTTTTCCATAGCTGGCATTGCCGGACTGGACTCCTGTGAGGTTGTGGTTATGGCCACTATTCTGGGAGAGACGAGAACCTCTGCCACAGATGACTCCATACCCGGGGAAGGGCTCCCAACCACGCTCTGGATGACAGCAGCAACCTTCTTGTTCTGGTGGGTTTTAACATGCTTTGATAGGTGATCACTTCGCATAAACCGCTTGGAGCACTCTGGACAAGAAAACTTTTTTTCACCTGCAAGAATGAAGAAAAATAAAATTAAAGATATTCTCTGCTAAAGGACTGAGCTTTATGTATAACATGCTCTATCGTTTTTTGGTGCTGGGGGGGGGGCGGGAAACATACAGAACACATACCGTTTTTTCATATTTTACTTCTCAGAGATATTTATTTTCCACTTGTCAACTTCAGGTTTTGGACTTGAATTTTTATTTTTTAAGCCTGATTTATCACCACTTGAAAGCTACAGTGACTTTAGAAACAGATCAGCTTTGTTACACCAAACCTGTTCATGTTAAACCTTTTAAAATTGCATTAGAAATGATATTGGTCCCCAGTGCATAATATTAAGCCACATTGACTGCAGTTATTCCGTATAGAGCTATATAAAGGGAAGTTTAAAAAAAGAGAAGTAGACAGATACTTGAGCTTGTGGTTATATAAAGCAGTTTGGTGAAAATTCATTGGGATTAAAAGATCTGTCATAATCTAATAAACTGGTGGAACAGGATTGATAGGCTGAATGGTTTCTTCCTGTTTTCTAAATGGAATATAAGGAATGCTTTGGTGAACATTTGCTGGCACCACATGGAAACATGGCACAATCCTGAGACATTTTGTAATGCAACACTCTACGTCATACAAATAGACATACAGACAGACTCTCAGACACCAGTTGCAGTTTTGACTGATTAGTATTGTTAGAAATTTAAAAATGCTGTCAAACATTTTCCAGTGGCAACAAATCACAAATCAAAATTGTGCTGTTCACTATCTGTATCCAGCCTCATCAGTGGAGCCCCATGAAATTCTATTTTTTTCAATATAATTTTTAAATTTTGTTTTTCAGGGTTATTTCATTTTGTGTTATTTCATTTTATCCATTAAAATTTTTTTTATTATTACATTTACCTCAAGTGACCATCACTTCCTGCTTTGCTGCAAATGCAGTTGAACCCACAACCTTTTGACTCAGAAGTGGGAGTGCTACCAACATAGCCAGGCAGACCCTTTAAATACATATCATCCCCAATTCAAATTCTCAGTTTCGTATTGAAAGCAATATCCCTGAAAATAAAATTTACAGGTAATAGAACGTAAGGCATAAGTGAATGACTGGATCATTAAACAATTTCCAGGCCTTTAGCCACCCCCCCAACGGATTACATGGATAACCATTGCTATATTCTCATTACTTTTGCGCATAATAGAAATATATACAGTCCACAGGCACATATCTTCTGTATTAACGCAAACATCCACTGGTGTAGATCACACACCAACCCACTCATCAAATCTCTTTATTCATTAACTGCTATCATTCCAAACAACAACAATCACATGGTTACAATATTATGATTTATCGCTCAGACCAGATTTTCTAAATTTAAAATCTCAATTTACACATATTTAGGCTAAATTATTAAAATAATTTGATTGAATTCAAGTAATAAAAATTGGTAAACAATCGAGCGATTATCAAGCCAGCGGTGGAGACACGGTACAGACTTGATTAAATTTACTTTAGTGTTCCTTCATTTATTGGCAGACACCTGACATACGTGTTGGCTGTAAAAGCCAATGTGAAAAGGCCTGCTTAGTCAATCCTTCCAATAATTGTTGGAGAGCTATTATAATAGAACTAGTTGCAAGCGTCTTACCTCGGTGGGTAATCAGCAATTCCACAGTACATTATTTTCACTTTGTGCGTGAAGTCTTTCATCAACAGATCATTTATTAGATATTAAAATAAAAAAGTTAAATGAATGTTTACATGTCTCTAATTAATAGATAATTGACAAAGACTGTAATTCCATCATAAAAAATTAATTCCAATTCCCATGACAACTGAATCCTATCAGCCATTGTCACATTGCATTTCACTACTGTTTGGAGACGCATTTCACTTTGTTGCTATAGTCATTATCAGCATGTCGACTGTCAGCCAGCCCTAAACAGTGCTCTGAAACCACAGTAACAATTTACCAAGCTTCACACTCACGATGCAGCAAAAACATGACTCCAGGGCACATTGCCACAGGCAATGATGGCTGATTAAAACAAGTCACCTCAAGCCAGCACTACATTACACTATTCTAAACAAACACCCCCATCCTTATCAACATGATCAGAATAAACCACTGTTCAGATTCCCTTCAGATAAACACTGCAGAGCAAGAAGAATCACTGCAACATCTCAAATAGAACCAGTTACCAAACACTGCGTTTATCCTAAATCATAAACATAGTAAAAGTGTGTTAAGAAATTAATGCTGGTTGGAGTCTTTCAACCTGAACATGAACATTCCTTTAGTAACCACAAAGCTGTTCCAACTGAATGCTTATTTGTTTAGTAATCACAATCCCCCCCACCCCTCCCAAGCTTTATTGTACTAATCACATCCTACGTATGCAGTGAGGGTTAATAATTATTCCTAAGAACAAACAAGCCTGAAATGAAATCGTCTGGTCCCCTGGGCAATGCAAGTTAACTACATTTTCATCAAAGGAAAACTCCTTGGGTCAGTGGTTTGAAAACCGACTGGTGATCAAATGCTGAGAACGGCAGTCCCTGGACTTTTCACAAAGCTTATGTTATTATATTTTTGTAACATTACGTTCATTTTTCAGAAACTCTACACTGAGCTGAAAAAGTCATCAACTACATGAGTTCTTTTGCTTATACAACAACCACAATAACATTTACATTTGTATAGTGCTTTTCACGTCGGGCGGACGTCCCAAGGCACTGGGCAGGGTGCGATGGTTTGCACACGAGCAGGGAGTTGGATTCAGGAGGGGGTGGTGGAAGATGACCGAAGGCACGGTCAAAGAAGAAACTCTTAAGATGTATCTTGAGGGAGGTGAGGGAAGAGATGATGCAAAGGGACGCCGGAATGGAGTTCCACACAATCGCTTCACGTCATTCACTTTTACATTTCACCACGCCTTATTCAATTTATTAGTGTATTTCTACTTATAAAGATTCCAGTTTTAAAATGACATTCATTGAGAAAAAATAAATCTTTCACTGTGTGTTACTGACCTGTGTGAGTTCTCCTATGCCTCTGCAATTCATCACTCCGTGTGAAACGCTTGCCACAGAACAGCCAGTTGCACACAAATGGCCTCTCACCAGTGTGCCAGCGAAGATGTGCTCTTAAATGGGAGGTTTTCCCATAGACTTTTCCACAGCCCTCAATGTGGCAAATGTGCTGCTTCTTCTTCCCTGGTTCACTGGGGGCTCTATTTAGAAAGAATTCACAGTTGGAGGATTATAATACACTTGTAAACAAAAATGACTCTACAACAGTTCATTCTTTGTGAATGTATGCAAACTCTTGAAAATAATGTTTTGTTCAAATATTGTAACTAGATATCCTGATATCTGTCAACCTATGCGTGACCGCCTCTGGATTTTGCAAATTTATTTCACTCATGACCGTGAGTCCCTGCACACTGCTCCTGAAGCAAATTGGCAAGTATGTGATTTACAAACCGATCAAGTCTCAAAGAAGGTAATGGTGAAAATAACAAACGTCATAGTGTGTACAGCCTGACGTCATCAGTGACCAGCGAGTGTCTCAGCGACATCCCAGCCTCTGGCTGCAGAGACGGAACAGAGATTGTGAAAAATGTAAACCCGGTTAGGCACATTACATCACCAAATTTAAAAATTTGCAATTAGGTAGCTATTTGGTAAATATTTCAATTGAGAAGCATAATATAATAAAGGATTACATTGGAACCAGCCTGATGGATTGACCACAATGGGCTTTCTGGGCATGTACATGCCTATACTGTGGAGGGGAAACCAGGTACATGAAACTTACTTATACAGATTTAAATATATTCACATCAATCACAGAACTCTTCATTTACCTCAAGCTAGCTTTCAACAGAATCCTGGCGTGAGGTAATCAAATGTTTACAGAAACAATATAATACGCCATCAGAAGTAATTTAAACACCTTAAATTAGATACACTACCTCATTATATGAGGTGCAGGAGCAGTTTACATATTACAGGGAATCCTCACTGTAATGCAATCAGCTGGGTCTAATGTCTCAATGACCGCACTATAAACAAGGTTGTGAGATCACTGCTGACATAATTTCATGTGTACTGCACGTATGTGAGTCATGCACAGAAAATGACGCTTGAATCACTTCTAGCATAATGTTAGTAGCAAATAGTACTCAGGCACTCAGGAGGTGAAGACCCTACAACTGGCCATGTTTTCGCAGAAGAAGCTGGCTAATCAGTGCTGGTAGCCAGACCACCAGACTTGCAGTTAAGCGCAGGTTCACAGGAGACCTGTGCTATCAGTGAGACAAGCACAATATCGAAGGGATATAACTGGTTTTCTTAACACAACACTGAATGCTGAGTTCATGTCACTGATTCCTTGTGTGAGGTGTTCCCAAATTACGAGATACTGAATACTATCCACCTGGGGAAGGGGATAACAACCACCACAAAATTACATTTGTATAGCGCCTTTCACGTCGCAAGGATGCTGCACGCTGGACACTCAGTGTTTCGGACCCGAGCTGGAATCAGTGAGACTGGAGGGCAGGGGGGAAGGAGGGTGACCAAAGGCACGGTCAAAGCGGAGGGTCTCGAGGTGGATCTTGAAGGTGGAAAGGGAGGGGGTGAGGCAGAGGGACTTCAGGATGGAGTTACAGAGGGTCGGGGCAGTGACAGTGACAGAAGGCCTGCCCACCAATGGTGGGACGGGCGAGGCGGAAGACGTGAAGCAGACTGGAGCCTGCTGAGCAGAGGGAGTGAGCAGGCTGCTAGGGGGTTAGAAGGTCGCAGAGCTATGGGGGAGCAGGGCCGTGGGGGGCTTCAAAGGTGAGGATCAGGATCTTGAACTGTATTCTCTGTGTGACAGGAAGCCAGTGGAGTCAGGCGTGGATGGGGGTGATGGGATCGCTGAGCCTGGTGCTGGAGAGGACACGGGCTACAGAGTTCTGGATGATCTGCAGCCTATGCAAGGAGGAATTGGGGAAGCTGGCAAGCAGGGAGTTTGCGTAGTCAGCCTCGATGTTATGTATGAGGGTCTCGGCGGCTTGCGGTGTGAGACAGTGGCAGAGCTGGGTGATGTTGCGGAGATGGGGGAAAGGCAGAGTGGGTCATGGTGCAGATGTGAGGTAGAAAGGATAGTTGAGGATCAAACAAGATGCCAAGATTCCGGACTGGCTTAGTAAGGTGGAGTGTGCATCCTTGGATGGTAATGCTGTCAGCGCCTGAGGTGAGGAGATGCTGATGGGAACCAATCAGGAAAACTCTCATCCAGGACTTGATGTCTGACAGAGTTAAGGGTGGAGACAGAGAGATAGGGTCCTGTAGATCAGTGGTTAAGGACTCGCTTTGCAAGCGAGAGACCTGAGGTCAATTCCAGGCAGGGCGAAACCTTGGGCAAGTTTCCTTACTCCACACGCCTAATAATAATCCCTCCAAAACCCAAAAACAATAATAAATTGATCATTTTCAATCTACGACTGTTTGTGGGACATTGCTGTGCGCAATTGGCTGCCGCGTTCTTCCACAAATATACAGTCAATTCACTTTACTGTGTGTTCTGTGAAGCGCTTTGGGATGTCCTCCCGACGCTATATCAAATGCAAGGATTATTATTTATTATTATTAGAGTTGCGTGTCATCCGCATACATATGTAAATTGACTCCATGTCTGCAGATGATGTCACCAAGAGGGACCATATAGATACTGAAGAGGGGATCAAGGACAGAGCCCTGAGGAACGCTGCACGAGACAGTGCAGGGGCTAGAGGAGAAGCTGTTTGTGGAGATGAAGTAGAGATGGTCCATTCAAGGACATAATCATGAAGGTTGAGGTGAGAGGAGAAGCGGTGGATGAGGATAGAGTGGTTAATGGTATGGCTGGCAGCAGAGAGATCAAGGAGGACCAGGAGGCAAGGGAGCCCTAGTCATAGAAGGACAAAATGTCATTTGTCACTTTGACCAAAGCTATTTCTGTGCTGTGGGCGGCACGGAAACCCTATTGGAGGGGTTCAAGAAGGGAGTGGCGGGAGAGCAGTGAAGCTGGGAAGCAAAAACTCGTTACAGGACCTTGAAAAGGAAAGGGAGGCTGGAGATAGGGCGGACGTTTGTGCACAGTGATGGGTCCAGGGAGGATTTTTTAAGGATAGGAGTGATGACAGACATTTTTTAATGGGATGGGAACAGTACCAGTGGAGAAGGAGAGGTTTATGATGTCTGTGAGTAGGGGGGAAAGAGCTGAAGCTGGGAAGTAACGAGAGAGGGTTTCATGTGGGTTATGGTGGTGATGAGGGAGGAGGGGGAGACAGGTTCGAAGGTGTGGAGGGATGGGTGGGGGCCAGATTATGAGGGGACGATAGGGAGGGGATTAGTGGTCAGAAGGGTAGAGACAGCTGAGCGGAAATAGGAGGCCGGAGCCAGTTGAGCAGATGCAGCAGGTGATGGAGTGGGGGGAAGTAGGTTGGATAGGTAGGGAAGTGTGAGGAAATGAAAAGATTTGAAAACAAGTGAGAGGATCTTGAAATCAATCCATTTGGTGATTGGGAGCCAATGGAGCCTGGCAAGGAATGGTGTGATGCGGTTACAGAGTTTCGTGTGGGTGAGTATCTGTGCAGCGGAGTTTTGAATTAATTGGATTTTGTGTATGATGGAGCTGGGGAAACTAGCCAGGAGGGTATTGGAATAGTCCAGTCGGGAAGTGACGAAGGCATGGACAAGGGTTTCAGATACATTGGTTATGAGGTTTGGATGGAGGCAGGCAATGTGGTGGAGTTGGAAAAAAGCAGTGCTGGTTAGGGAACGGATGTGTGATAGAATGGAAAGCTAGGGATCTATCCTCACACCTAAGTTGCACTTGTGTAGGTGGGATGCATGGAATTCTCAGTTTGGTTTGGAGACGCTAAACCATGGGCGATGGATTTGTACATGTGACAGACGCCTAGCTGACCAAACAAAACAAATTCAGACATGGTATTGGGGAAAGTGCCAAGCAGAGGGCCGCCACTTCCCTACAGGAAGGAAACATGAGAAGGCAAGAATCTTGCGGCGCTCTTAAATATTTTCCAGAACATGGCTAAGGAATAAGCAGCGACCAGGAAGCAGGCTACAACAACAACAACAAAATTACATTTATAGAGCGCCTTTCACGTCGGGAGGACGTCCCAAAGCGCTGAACAGTCAGGTGCCAGGGCCCGAGCATGGGGGAAGGGGTGGTGTAGGGGTGAGGGAAGGCAGAGAGGTGGGAGGGAGACCAAAGGCACGGTCGAAGAGAAGGGTCTTGAGACCGGCCTTGAAGGAGGCAAGGGGGAAGAGAGGAGAAGGGACTACTTGTTCACTGCCTCAGCTGGGAGACCAGAATGAGATATTTCCCAAAAGTAAATTGCTGAGGTTTGAAGGAAGCTCTTTTCATTTAATGTAAGATGTTTTAACATTGGATAAAACAATGAATATTGGGTAATTTTTTTTTGGTCAGTCATGCTTTAAAGTATCCAGACCAGTCAGAATTCCACAAATGTATGCCACCTGCACATGGAAATTTCCCTGTGTCTGGAATGGAAACCATCTCCCTAGAGGCATGGTCTCTGCTTACCGAATTTCAGAGAGCATTAATCACAGGTTGGCAAGAGTAAAGCAACCTCAGACTGAACCTTGGGGTATTGCTGGACTCAAACCAGCTAATACCGATTAGCTTGCCATTGAAAGCACTGTCTATCTAGCAAGCTTCCTATGCTTGTACTACTGGGACCACCCCTTCTATTAGAGCCTAATCAATCAATATTCCATAATAAACGGTATCTATTCAGCAACCACCTGTCTAACACAGCCATCTCTGATTTAGTGTATTAGTGTACAGATACCCTTTCCAGGGGCCAGTTCTAAGTGAATTGAAGTTCATTACCAATTTTCACAAGCCCAATGTAGATTCCCGCTAGATTCCTAGCACATTTACCAACACCGCACTGAGCAGCTCACGTGATGCCCACAGCTTCCCACCTCACCTGTGAGGCTTCGTACGTCTAAAAACATTTTTTGGATCCAGTCAATAAACCTTTGTCATTTATCCTTTGAACATTGAAAGCTTCTTAGATAATAATCCAGGTCTGGAAGGATTAGTATCTTACATGGAGCCTAAGCTAAATTGTTTCAACGACTTTCTTGTAGTTTTGCAGTGTCATCACTATAATTTGGCACAAATGGATATTATATTCGCGATATTATTCAGCAGAGTCACCAGGATGGCTGGTTCAACATCAAACTAGGGCAATGCTCTTGTAAAATTGAGGTTAGGGTATAGTGTATTCATACCAAAATCTAAGCTTTTCTCACATTTATTGCTTTTAATCTTGCCTGTTCTATAATATTGATGCGGATGTGCCAAAATGTTTCATCTCAAATCAAAAATCTCTCACCCAAACCACAAAACTCCACTGACATAAAATTAGAAAACTGCAATTTAATACTTTCCTCTATTCCGCCTCCTATGGTACAATGTCCTTTTTGAAACTCTCACTTAATCAGATTAATTCAAAAATAGCTCCTAGAAATTCATGCCCCAGGACTTTGAATAAACTTCTAAAATTAGCGTCACTCACCTTCCTTCCCCATCTTTGCAGTTGGGGCATGAGCAGGCAACCCTTCTAAGCCTTTTGCCAGGCTGCGTGTCTTGGTCACTAGTTGTCTGCAGCTGTACCTGGGTGATATTGTTAGGGCTAACTGTGCCTAGCGTTGCATTTGCAATGTTTCCAACAGCTACTGTAACTGGAGTTACAGATGCAGGTTGTACTTTTAAATGCCATTTGGTGTCTCCTCCATCCTGGCTCTGTTGACCTGTGGAACACAAATAGATGCAAACCGATTTGATCTGGATGAGCATTGGACAATAAAGAAACATGAAAGTGTGCGGGGAGTTGAGATTGGAACAAATAGCCCAGAACCTGGCATTTTTGCACAGGCTCCAGGGACCAAATGACCTTCATTCGTGTTGCAATTTCTAGGATTCTATAATTCTACCTTGACCATGTCTGTGCACAATACTTTCACCTGATAAAATAATCAAATTATTTTCCATCTAAATCTTCCTCCATTTTCTACTTAAGCGTTCAGTTTTTAAAAATAACAAAAGATTCTCAAAAATTGAGAATTAATTTATACTACTACTAATAGCAATAGCTGGAAGTCTACAATTGCATTCAAATTCTCTCTATATGCATTTTTGCAAATAAATACCCTTTTACTTGTTGCAAATCTCTAGTTTCAGAATGTATTATTCAATACCAACCCACCTTTTCTCAGGTGCTGCTTATCCTGTTAGATTAGTCACCTTGCTATCAGTTAAGATTAAATGATGAGAGCTATGTAGTTTTATCAAAAATTTCTGGTTGCACTTTATTCACTTTTGCCTACAAAACACAGACACTGACTACACTTTACAGTAAAATTCTGTAAACGCTTTGGGATGCCCCCTGATGTGAAAGGCGCTATACCAAGTATAAGAATTATTAATAATAATCCTCACATTTGGTATAGTGCCTTTTCACGTTGGAAGGATGTCTCAAAACACTTCACAGGATTTATTATGAAATCGAGCACTGTGCGTTTATAGGCAAATGCGGCAGCAGAACTGCGCCAGGAAATGAATGACTAATCTTATTTGAGGGAATGTTGGCCAGGATGCCGGGAGAAACTCCCTTCTCTTATTATTATTTCACATCCAAATCTTTGCACAATAATCTGTTTAATATTTAAATTTTTGGAGAAGTTGTTAAATGACTGAATTAGCTTTTCAAGAAACAAAGACCAACAACAATTTATATTCCTGCAGCGCCCTTCCCATGCCAGGGTAACTTCTTAGAGGGCTGAACAATGGAGTAGTTTTATGCCAAGTGGGAAGAAAATCCTGCAACTGCAGGCACAGTAAAAGAGGGAAGTCTTCAAGTGTGATCTGAAGACGGGTAAAGAGGGGGCAAGACAGAGGGATTGAGCTATTATTTTGTAAGATTACAAACAGAAGCTCATAATGTTCAAACAAAGTTTGATGGATCCTTATTGGACAGACGGAGGGAGCTAAATTGATTTCAATCCTGTATCCTCTCCACCAAAATAAAATCGGTGAACTTTTACACAGGATGTTAGTACTAGAGAATAGAGCACTTGTCCATTTCAGGCACTTGTGGTCATCCTCACGTATTCCTATATCAAGTACAGTACAGAACAGCTTAGCACACAGAAGAGCTAACCTAAAAACATGTTTTAGCCACAACCTCAGAAGAGCATCTCATATGCCACCAGAGCGACATTTCCACTTCCTGACTAGATATTTTTGTGCCCTTTCTGAGTGAGATGACCAAGGGAGCGAACTCAAGACTTTGTGTTGTGGGGGCCACCCTCACAGAAGTAAGTTGTAAATATTTTAAAAATTCATTGCACAAAATGCTCTTCCAAATTATCCTATCAAAGTGCTGTGTATTCAAGCTCAGTATTCAGAGGTGAAAGGGAAATACTCAGCCACTATACATGTGGTTCTTCTGATATAACAACAACTTGCATGCCCTTCACGGGCATGCTGCGAGGCAGCATCTACGCACAATACAGTCTTGTTTCAATTTGGTAATTTTGTACTTGTAGCCTCTGCTTCGCAAGAAAATAATCTGCTTGCAATTAGGTTATCCATCACACTCAGGATTTTCTAGGTTTGGTCCATGTTCCCCTTAATATTTTCTCCACTAAATCAAGCTTTCAGTAGCCTGGCTCATTTGGTAACACAATTGCCTCTGAGTCAGAAGGTTGTGTGTCCCAGCCCTACATTGGGACTTTAAGATCATAGCCTAGGCTGGCACTCCAATACATGCTTAGGCTACGCTGCATTGTCAGAGGTGCTATCCTTTGGAATAAGAAGTCAAACTCCGGTCCTGTCTGCCTGTTCAGGTGGACATTAAAGATCCAATGCCAATATTCAAAGAGAAAGGAATTTCTTTCGGTGTCCTGGTGAATTATCCACCAGATAAAACTGATCACTCACTGAATGGCATTTGTGGTACATTGCTGTGTACAAATTGGCAGCTGGGTTCGCCTTCAAAAATAGTCACCAGTAAAATACCTCAATCAAGCGCTTTGAGATGTTACAATATAAGGCGCTACATCAAGTGCCATGATTATTAAATTCAGATCTGTGAATTTCCCTTTCCTGTTATCTGAAAGCTCCTCAGAAAAAAAACACAATATTAACTACAAAAGCAGATTGTTTTTAACTTGTGAATACAACTATTCTCAAACTTCAAAGATTTTAGTGTGGATTTAATCCGATTATTTCTCACCTAAATTGGAAATGGGTCATTTCTGGTTCCCTCTAGTGGGCAAAGGCACTACCCAATGCAGCACTAAGGCATATAAACCATAAGGTATTACGTAGGATTCCTAAATCTTTGCCAGAAAGGCTGCAATTTTTCTAGTACTCCTGAGCCATTGGGGAAGGGGAAAAAAATAAATTAAATTAACCAGCATTCCTAGTGCAAAACCAAGAACTCCTGCTAGAAAAAATACATGTGTGGGTGATGGGAGGAAACAGATCATGATGACTGTAAGGCCCTCCAAAGAGTAACTGCCTGCCGCCACTCACTGTCTATGTTCACACATGAAGAAAGGCCATTTGGGAAGAGCCGTCACTTAAGGGGAGATGATTGGAACAAAATAGGATCCGAAACAAAGTACTGAAAACATAGTTTGTAGAAATTATTTTATTTAAAAAAATATTGCCCTCCAAGCTTCTCCCTCCTCCAAAAAAAAGTGCCAACTAAAGCTGAGAGTAACAAACATTATGTTATGGGGATTATTAAACCATGAGATTTGTGGCTAAGTGTAACATTTAGATTGCCTTCTCGGCAAAGTCAGTACAATCTACAAGTATAAGTCAGTGATCTACATAAGTGATACTGGAAGTCCTATTACTGTATTCTATGTGGGTTATGGAAAATTCTGAAATGCACTGTAGCTACTATAACACATTAGCAAACAGGATATGTCGTCCATGCCAGGGTTTATATTCCACACGAGCCTCTACACCTCTAAATCCTCTCTCAGACGTCCCTATATTCCCTTCTGCCTCATGTAGGCATCAAGATTCCTCTTATATAATGCTGATGCTTTTTGTTTCGACCACAGCTTCCAGGAGTGAGTTCCACATTCTCACCACCTTCTGGGTAAAGACAATCCTCCTAAACTCCTTTTAGCTATGCTGTAGACTATTTTATATTTGCGTTCCCTCCTTTAGGAACACCAGCAGGTGAGGACAGCCCATCAACACCCACTTATTCATTCCCGTCATATTTTGAAACACCTCTGTCAGGGCCCTCCATCTCAATTGTCTCATCTCCAGAAAATTGCTTTAACCTGGCCAATCATTCTTGATAGCACACGTCCCTGGAAGCATCTTCATACATCTACACTGCATTCTCTCCAATGCTACCTCTTCCAAGTATCACATCTCAATTCTGGCTCTCTTCCACACAATAGTACACAACACTCTCCTTCACAATGGAGAAGAACTGGCTTGTATGACTACTTTAGTCTTCTTGGTACCATGTATTTTATTAACGCCCAACATTCAGCTGTGTTCCCATACACTCCTGTAATGGGAATGGTTGTCACAAGAAATCTTCAAACACATGAATAAATCTATTAGTTTCCAGGAACCTGTCATGTTGCTTATTGTCATGCGATTGTTTTCTTTATTCCCAGTACAATTTTTTTTCAGAGGGCTGAGTTTTGCTCTCAGTATGTTGATTTGTGTATTGCTAACTTTGTAAGGTATTTAAGTGTGCTAGTTTGCGGAAAGTTGGATACGCTTTGCATTTCAATTGGTTTCTAATTGGGATTGCATTCATGTCTTGAAAGCTACCTTATGACAGCTGACAGCTTTGTGACAAAGACATCAGTACAGCAGCTAATGCTCACCATGTATCTGAAAAAAGAAGTAACCTGGCATTTCACAGCCATTTGTCTGTTGAAATGATGTTAAGAACATTAGTTTTACATTGCAGCCCAACAGAGTCCTAGTAACATGAAGCTCGGAGGCAGAGAGAGTGGATTACTGCTTTTGTGACAGCCTGGCTCGGTTGGCAGCCCTCTTGCCTCTGGGTCAGGAGGTTGTATGCTCATGTCCTGTGACCGACCTGGTCAAAGTGACAAATGACATTCTGTCCATCTGCCTTCTCGTCCTCCTTGACCTCTCTGCTGCTTTCGACACTGTCGACCACTCTATCCTCATCCATCGCCTCTCCTCTCACCTCAACCTCCATGGCGCTGTCCTTTATTGGTTCGGATCGTATCTCTCACACCGCCTGCACTTCATCTCCTCAAACGGTTTCTCCTCTAGCCCTCGGACTGTCTCGTGTGGTGTTCCTCAGGGATCTGTCCTTGGTCCCCTCCTCTTCAACATCTATATGCTCCCTCTTGGTGACATCATCCGCGGACACGGGGTCAACTTCCACATACATGCGGATGACACCCAACTCTACCTCTCTGCCTCCACCCTTGACCACTGCTGTGCTGACAGAATGTCTGTGAGACATCAAGTCCTGGATGAGAGCTAACTTTTTTAGTTGAACGTCAACAAGACCGAGGCTCTCCTGATTGGCTCCTGTCAGTGCCTCCACACCTCAGGCACTGACAGAATCACCATCCATGGTGCTCACTCCACCTTACTAAGCCGGTCAGGAACCTTGGTGTCTTGTTTGACCCTCAACTATCCTTTCTACCCCACATCTGAGCCATGACCCGCTCTGCCTTCCCCTACCTCTGCGACGTCGCCCGGCTCTGCCACTGTCTCACAC